GTTAAGCCTCTGTCTTCAGCTCAGGTCATGGTCTCGGGGTCCTGGGATCGAGTCCCACATCAGGCTCTCTGCTCTGCAGGGAGCCTGATTCCTCCTCTCTCTCTCTCTGCCTGCCTCTCTGCCCACTTGTGATCTCTCTCTGTCAAATAAATAAAATCTTAAAAAAAAAAAAAAAACCTGATCTGCACCTACAGTCTCTCTACCAGTATAAACGGTTATGTTTTCCTGGTCTGTGTTTTTGTGTTTCCCCCCACCCTCCCCAACGCACAAATAGTATACTGGAGCATTTTTGTAGAGTATGTAAAGATAAGGCAGGGGGAGGATTGCTCTCCCAGATTAGAGCTGGCGATGGGTAATCCAGGGTGTTAAAGTTTTAAATACCGAGACTCTGATTTTTTATTTTTTTTAATTTCTTTGTCGTTACAGGTGATAGAAAAGTAAAAGAGTAGGGTGGCGCCTGAGTGGCTCAGTGGGTTAAGCCTCTGCCTTTGGCTCAGTTCATGATCTCAGGGTCCTGGGATGAAGCCCTGCATGGGGCTCTCTGCTCAGCAGGGAGCCTGCTTCCCCTTCTCTCTCTGCCTGCCTCTCTGCCTACTTGTGATCTCTGTCTGTCAAATAAATAAATTCTTTAAAAAAATTTTTTAAAAAGTGAAAGAGCTGTCGGGGCAGCAGGCTTATTTAGTTTAAAAGAACAACCATTAAAAACGCATGAAGAATTTTTTTTTCTCTCCACTATTGTTATTACATTGTTATATTGTTATTATATTGTTATTATATATTGTTTTATATTCAACCTCAATTTGGGTTAAAGGAAGACAATTTGTTCCTCTTCAAGTGTTTCTGAAGGTTTTCAAGGCTGATTTAAAATATTTTGGCTTTTAAATTAAGCAGTTTTTTCAAATTTTAAAAGTAAATTCAGGCTTAGCCCTCACGGTCCCAAAGTGCCAAAGGGAGTTGAACATAATCCCAACTGACAGAGATGCCCACACGACCCATGAAATGTGAGCTTTGGGAAGTCACGTTTTAAATACAACTTGGACATAAGGACAGATGTTTCCCTTTGCAGAAGTCACTATAATTTCCATCGGAAATTACCCGAGTTAGGAGCTGTCCTCCTGGCCAGTGGCTCTGGAGGGGTAGTCATGGACACTGCTTCCTGATAAATACCTTCCTTCTTAATTCAAAAGCCCTGAAGAGCTTTTGAAGACAAAAGTTATCTCATTTTCACTTGCTGTTAAGAAACTGAAAATAACTTTGAAAAGTGTACAATAGAAAGCTGACCCTTGACTATATATAAAGCTGGCCTTTGGTTATCATTCAAGCTCTTCTTTTGGGAAATCTGACTGAGGGCTCTGAGTGACAATTCATTGGGAGACTCTGGTCTGAAATCCTGCATCCTCCCAGGACTGAGAAAGGAAAAAGCAAAGACATTTTGAAGAAAAATCCTAAAAGAAAGATAAAAGGTAGGAAAGTGTGAGTCTGAGGCATTCACACTTCATCATTCCTTCTACAAAGTTGACTGGTACCCTCGGCGCAGTGTTCACCAGATGTGCTGGTGAGGAGCAAGACAGACACTGTGGGGCCTGCTCTGAGCTCATTCTATTGGTGTCATTAAATGAGCAACTACAGTGGTGTGTAGTAAGTTCCCTGGTAGGGCAGAGCTTCGTAACATGTCTGAAAAAGAATGACATAAGGGATAATTAAAGCTAAATCTCTGGGGATGAGACTCAGGCTTTGTAGGGTCTAGAAACTCCCGGTAATTCAACTATGCAGTCAAAAATAGAGTCATTGGGGTGGGGCAGGGTAAGTGTAGGATGCTAGGTGAGCACATGGTTCTCAACACTTAGAGGACATCAGAATCACCTCTTCGCTTCTTAAGCACAAATTGCTGGGCTCCTCCTCAGAATTTCTGATCCATAAGTCTGGGGTGTGGAGAGGCCAAGAATTGCCAATTCTAACAAGTACCCAGTGATGTGGATGCCATGGGTCCCGGGGACCACATTTTGAGAACCACTGTGGGAGCACCAGTTATTCTAGCTGAGAGAGCTGAACCAGGTGTCCCAGAAGGAGTGATATTTGAGGTAAACTGCAAAGGCTGATGGGGGTTAGGGAGGTGTGTGAGAACATAGAAACACTGTCTGAGTGTGTGGTGGACAGAAGACGGAGGAAAGGTTTCAGAGGGAAATACTGAGCAAGGGTCCAGACATAGATCTGCAGGGCTGACGGAATGTTCACAATAAATGGCTACAACCAGGTCATGGCGGGGTGGGGTGGGGACAGTACAGTCCCACTGAAGAATTTGGGATGTATTTTAAGAGTAATGACTAGGTATAGGGTGTAATGAGATGTGTAAATTTTTGTAAGTTTGCAGTAAGTACATTATTGAGCTTGGGTTAAAGGTGGACAGAAATGGAGAAAGTCCAGTAAAGAAGCTGTTGCAGTTTTCAAGTAAAAGATAGGAGAGTTTGCAAAAGGATGAGAGCAGTGGTAAGGAGAGACAGGACAGATTCCAGAGGCCTACGAGGTAGAATAATAGGATCTGGTGACTGAATGAGGGTGGAAGCAGGGGAGAGGGAGATGAGGAATGAAAACCTGACTGGATTTGGTAACAGGTGTTAGTAATGCCTTTCTCACAGGTGTTAGGGTGGTCGGTCAGTGGCAGTAGATAATGAGTTTGGACCCACTAAGTTTGGGGTGCTTGGAAAACCCTTATTTATTTAAAAAAATTAAGATTTTATTTATTTATTTGACAGAGAGAGACAGCGAGAGAGGGAACACAGGTAGGGGAAGTGGGAGAGGTAGAACAGGCTTCCCGCAGAGCAGGGAGCCCGATCCCAGAACTCTGGGATCAGTACCTGAGTCAAAGGCAGATGCTTAACGACTGAGCCACCCAGGTATCCCTTGGAAGACCTTTAAATGGAGAGGTTCAGGAGGTAGATGCATGATCTGGATGGAGTGCAGTACGAGCTGGAGATAAATGTGTGGCTTGGTTACCAGCATGGAAATGACAACGGAAGGCATGGGTATCCAAGGGGACTAGAGAATGAGCAGGTAGAATGAGATAAATGGAAGGAAGCTTGGGTTCATGGGTTTCTTGGGTTCTGGAGACTCTGATGGCTGAAGCTGAGATAGTCCTGTTCACTGCAGGATGAATGATCCTATTCTGTCTCAGAGGTGGGGTTGAGTAATGTGAGAGAGAGAGGTTCGGAACTGTCTACATATGAAGGACACAAGATTGCTTCTTGTTATGTCTAGGACAGGTGCCTTTAATCTTCCTTCCCTGCATGTGGCTAGAAGAGACCACGAGGAGCTCTGCAGGCTGGTACCACCAGACCACATCAGGGTGACCGCTGGGGGAAGGCAAGGCTACACAGGGCCGATTTAGGATTCTCAAGCACTGAACTCTAAACCAGACCTCTAAAGATATGAAGCCTCTGGCTGCCAGATCTGCCTTTGCTCTTGAGGGAAACACTTGAGGCCTAAGATCCTACTCTGGGTGAGCCGAGGTGTGGGGACGGTGGTGGGGCGCCTCTTTGTTTTCCCATACATACACAACTGCTGCGTGTATGGCACACTTTCTGTTACTTAGTTTGGGGCCGTACCTGTAACTATAGGGACTTGGGTTAAATAAAAAGGGGAGGGGGGGTCCTATCCGCAGGGAACTTATTAATAGGGATGTAACAGACATTTTTTAATCCAGTAACTCAGGAATAATGTAGAATGTAGTTGTAAACGGTCTAAAATTGTAGATGTCAATGTAATATTGAACTGAAAAACAAAACAACAAAACCTCCCGCACCCGTTTTTCTAGCTTTTATTCTCATTCAGGAGAGAGCGAGAACTGCAGGTCCGTCACCCACCTCCCCCCAACCCCCCAACTTAAACTACGTAAACCACGTCCCCGCGCATCCGACGGGACAGGTCCTCACAGTCCCTTCATCCCACGGGGCTTCTCCAGCGCCCCGAGAACGCTTGTCGCTGCTCACTGCTGCCACCATGCGGGCAAGCGTAAGAACGGAACATCCGTCCCTTCTGTTTCTGAATTCAAAGAAATGCAGAATAACAACTTTCCCTATTGATATTCTTTTCCCTCTTTCATTCCCTCACTTCCTCTCCCCTTTTTCCTGTCTTTTTCTTTCTTTCAGTTTCTTTTCTTTTCTTTCTTTCTTTCTTTTTTTTTTTTTTGAGAGAAGCACACTTTAGAACACTATAAACTTACAGTATTAGCATCTGAACAATTTCTCTTTTTAAATTCACCAGTGGCCTAATATTGTGGGATTTTTTTTTTTTCAGGATGAACGGTGGGGTTGGTTCGGGTAATTTTTCTCACTTTTTTACCAGCTTTGATTTAGGCCACACACAGAAGCGGATAGAGCCTAATGACAATGAGCTGAGTACCAAAAGTAAAGAAAAACCACCTCTTTGCCCCCTCTATTTCAAAGAACCTATCCATTTCAGATGTTAGAATCTGTCTTAATGATTTTTAAATGTCTTTCTTTGCAGATTTGACATCATCCTTCACAATTTAACTCAGCATGGCTTAAATTTCAAACAATGGTGTTAATCTACTCAATCAAATTATATGGTACTAATTAATAAACTTCCAGAGTATCATCTTACTCATGTTTTAAAAGAAGCAACAACTATGGTGAATTAAATAAAATGAAAAAAAAAAAAAAACCTTCCACTTTCACAACTGTTTGTCTTTTCATATCAGGCAGAATAGGATCCTTAGCTCCTGAAAAGCCTGAAGTGATGGATGACATCTCTACATTTATCCCTACTGAGGTTTATTGGACTTGATAAATCTTGTATCTCAGCTGGGGAACCCTGGATATCTGATCTGAGTATTTATAACATAATTGGAGAAGACAATTGCTGGTATTGTTTTTTGCTGGTGTATCACACTTGAAGACCTAACAGGGAAACAGGATCCCCACCCACCTCTGGTGTCATCAGAGAATCCAAGAGGAGAAAAAGGAAATGAGACGTGCTCTTACCATTATCGTTGCCTTGCTTGATTTCCTCTGCCGTCCGATCTATTAATACATACAAAGACCAAACCACACAGGTGATCGCAATTACGTGGAATGTGACAGAGCAGAATATTTTCCTCCTTTCGCTCGTGGTCATCTGCAGTTTCTCCCACTGCAATCATAAATGAATTACACAACACTGAGTTTCTAGCTAGGGAATTTTGCTCCCCATTTATATCCCAGACATACACCAAAAATGGAGGAAAAACATAAAATATCCACAATTTCACACAACATGACAACATTCAAATAAGTCTTGTGTGGCAAAGATACGGAATCATAACCCCTGGAGTTATATATAACTTAAATATATATTAAAATGAAAACAAATATCTTCCTGTTCTCCAAACAAATTAAATCAAGTAATTTCTGTTTCACTAGCCTGTAGTCTCCTTGTTTGTGACACAGATGAGATAGTTTTACAGTTGGACAATTTTTAGAAAACATTTCCTTTCAGGTTTCTGCATATCACTTCCTTGTGGTAGATTATAAGTAGTAATAAATAGATTCTTCTTGGATGAATACTTAATTAGATACAGTGTTGCATTCTTGAAGATGTACATTAACAAGTGTTTGAATGGCTGAATAATATCTGTGAGAAAAAGTTACCATCTGCTCACAGCCCTTGTCCTAGAGAACACATTTTATCATCTGGCCAATGGGAGAAAAATCATCCTTTGAAGCACAGTCTTGATTTGCTGCTACTATTACTCTCAAAATCACTGTCCCTTAGTCAAACACTCCTCAGAAAGTAGAGGGCTGCTCCCTCCAGGGACAGAAGAGAGCCACAATTTTTACAGGGTCAAGTTCAGGTTTATATGAAGGAATGTGTCCATTATTTACTTTGGAGAAACATACTCTCAAAATCTGAATGCCTTGACACCTACTGTATCATTTCATTTCTGGGTTAGGAATTGTGTCTTTAATTTTCTTTGCACTATTTTTTTTATTATTACCATATAATGTATTATTTGTTTCAGGGGTACAGGTCTGTGATTCATCAGGCTTACACAATTCACAGCACTCACCATAGCACATACCCTCCCTGATGTCGATAACCCAGCCACCCCATCCCTCCCCTATAACCCCCCAACAACTCTCAGTTTGTTTCCTGAGATTATGAGTCTCTTATGGTTTGTCTCCCTCTGGTTTCATCTTGTTTCATTTTTCCCCCCTTTCCCTATGATCCTTTGTCTTGCTTCTCAAATTCTGAGATCATATAATTGCCTTTCCCTGATTAACTTATTTCACTTAGCATAATACTCTCTAGTTCCATCCATGCTGTTGCAAATGGCAAGATTTCAGTTTGGGTTATTTGTTTGTTTGTTTGTTTTTGATGGCTCTTTGTACTATTTCTAAAGAAAAATCAAATCCCTGTGATCTTATTGGAGGTGAACTGATGTGCCAAACTTTTAAGAAATCATCATATTTTCCATTCTTATTATGCTCTCGCTAAAGCAAAAGCTTTAGAACTGCAGATGACCCTATTTCTTTCCCAGGGCTCCCACCTATAGTTCCATGCCCAACTCAGCCAAAGGCAAGAGGGCATATGTTACCGCCTGTAAGTCCTGGCCATGCCACCCACTTGGAGACATGAGTAAAATTGCTTAACTTCTCTGGGCCAGTTTCCTCATCTCCACAAGTGGCAGATTATGGCATAGGTTGTGATGGAGAGGTTTGGGAAGAGGATACATTCTTCCCTTTTTCTTTTACCAACAGATTCATTCTGTGAGGGTTGGCATCTTGCCCAGCTAGAAGCTGCTTTCCAACCTTCCCCAGCAGAGGTGGGCAATGACTGGTTTCCACCAATGAGATGAGATGGCTATCTACTGGGGTATCGAGTTTTTGTCTTCCAGACACAGGAGCTGCCCCTTCTTCCTTCCCTTCATTTTCTCTTCTTTGTTACCTGGAATTCATAATTAAAGGTGGGAGTCCCAACAGCCACCTTGCAACGTCAAGGGAAAGTCTTGAGAACTGGGGAGACCTCAGTCCAACAAGCCATGTTTCATTTCTGGATGCCCACTTATATTGGAGGAAAACAAAGCTCTGCCTGATTGAGCCATTATTTCTCAGGACTCAGCTATTTGCTGTCAAGTGCAATTCCTGATAAAAGAATTAACTGAATACTTCCTAACTTCCCTTCCAGTCTGACAATTAAGATCCTATAATTTCATTAGTAAGAAGGTACAGTACTTAGTGCCTGATCATCATGTTCAGGAAAGTTTGGGAAACACTTTAGAGAAATAAATGTTTCATTTTCAAACACCATCCATTACCCTCCTACTGGCTCGTTGTCAGCATGGTTTTCCTTGTAAGGGGTTCTTAGAGCGAACTAAAAATTTTACACTTCATCTTGTACTTTTTTTCCCTTAAACTATATTTTGTATATTATTCCAAATAAATAATGGAGAAATCTTGGTAATGCAGCTCTGGGAAAACCAGGTGCTTCAATCTAGGATCTGTTTTTAATTAATCAGCATTGAACTGAGAAGATTTTAGTATGTGTATTTTAGCTTTTATCCTAAGTTCGCTCCAATTTTGTGAAAGATTGATTTTTGAAATTCTTTTTTTGTCATCCATCCATTGTCACGTTCATCTGAATAGCCTATATAATTATAAAATAGAATATTATCATTTGGCATAGCATTTTGTGATTTAATAACTTTTGTGAATTACCTTATAGTCAATAAAAAATGCAGGGTGGTGCAGAAAAGTGGCTTTACATATTCAAATTTCCCAAATGTTCCAAGGGGATGAAAATACTTTCAGTAAACAGAATATCCAGACCAAATCAACACTCATTTGCAAAACTGGCTTGAAAAAGAACCTTAAGAATTGTGTCTTCTTTGATCTAAGGAGCATTTTGACAGAGTGGCTGAAACACATTCTTCAAATGTAATGAGCCTCAGAGAAAGAAACATCCACGGGGCTGACAGGGCTGGACCAAGCCATTTGTAAAGACTCCTTCTGCTTCCAGACACTAGACTCTCCTAAGCTGTCACGTCCTGAGATCCCCAGCATTTTAAAGGGAAGTGAAGTGTAAAGGGACCATCAGACTCGCCTGCTTTCCCTTACAAATTCTTACAGGACTGCTCAGGAATTGGAGACAGCAAACAGGTAAGTGCAATGCCACAGCGCCCTCTCCCTGAAGACGACATCACTGCACCCAATACTCAGCACAGAGCGCCAACAGCAATCCCTGTATTTTGTAAAATGTTCAGCCATCTCCTCGTGTTTTCACGTTTGTAGCTGAAGTTTGAATACATTTTCCAAGGCTCTACACTGAGGAATGGATCGAGAGGGCAAGGATAGAAATCTTACTTTAACAAAGCTGCCGTGGAGGGGCTCCGATTTAATATTTGGGATGCTGAAATTTAAATACCACTTCACCCAAGGTTTTGTGACAGGACAGTGATAATCTGTCCAGATGCACACAGCCTTTGTACCCCCTGTCCAGTTTTATGAAGCAGTGTGTGCCGAGGTCCACATGAGCCCAGGTATGATGTTGACCTTTGGGATCTCTCTGAAGGGACGGACGAGAGCTTTCCCAGTGTCAGGTGGCCGGGTGGGTCACCTGCCACTCAGCAGCAGTGTCAGCCTGGCCTGGGCACTTGTTCCGGGTGCAAATTCTTATTTGGAGAGTTCTTCTAGGTCCACTTAGGAGAGGACTCTGTGTTGGCCTTGCCCACGGGCACACAGAAAATGTTAGCGCTTGTTCCGTCACAGATGACACACAGCTCTCTGTGCCTCATTTTTGCCTCCTGGCTGCAGGGCAGTGGCCATTGCCTTTCTTCCTCAGGTTACTCAGGCTCCTGTCAAATATCCATCCCCAAGTCGCTCAGTTTTAAGAGGACACATGTGTCTCCAGGCGTACTCAAGGAAGCTGGTGTAGCTGAGAAGCCAGCAGACCCATTTCCTGCCCTGAGGGGCAAGGGACAGCCTTGCACCACAACACACCACTCTGATTTCTTCAACTCTTTACGCTGCCAGCTCTCCTGTCTGACCCCCATCTGTCGGCAGGTCCTCTTTAACGAGTTCAAAATGGGGGAAAAGCTAATATGGGCCAAGCCACACATCTTAGCACCTCTGACACAGGTGATCTTGCACCTTGCTGTAGGCTTTACAATCTCTAGGTCTTTGGCACCTGTTTTATTGTTCTTGCCCTTTGGTTCCTTACTGAAACCCCTCAACAATAGAAAGAATTGAGCAGAGCTCTGTTATTCACTCAGAAATATACAATTAGATTTTTTCTGAGGACTTCCAAATTGGAGTATAAATTGATGCAAACATTGTTTCTGTGCAATTTTCCATTCGTGCTCACTAAATCAAACTGTGCAGGCTTTCTGGTTATAATTACTTGTATTTGCATTCTGTCCTAAAATATAAAATAAAAAATACCATCCAATAAGAATGCTGTCAATCTTTGTATCACTGGAGAATAAATGCAGTTCACTTGCACAATAGCAAGGTACAAGGGCTGGGGACTGCTTTACTCCTCCATTTCCTCTTCTTCCTTATATTTCTTCCAACTACATTTTCTAACTTTTAAAAAAATTTTATTTTATTTTATTTTCAGTGTTCCCGAATTCATTGTTTATGCACCACACCCAGTGCTCCATGCAATACGTGCCCTCCATAATACCCACCACCAGGCTAACCCAACCTCCACTCCTCTCCCCTCCAAAACCCTCAGTTTGTTTTTTAACAGTCTTAGCAACCAGAATTATCAGCAAGTCTATTGAATGATGGAGCAAATAACAACCATTAGGTGGCGCCAGGTCCATACCGTAAGAGTAACCAAGCCTTCTCCCTGCAGAGAACGAGACTCAGGAGCTCCCAGCTCTTTCTGCAACCCAGCATAAATGTAAAACCACACCTAACTGTCCCTCCCGGTCATAACACTTTAAAAATTCTGAACCTACTTATCATATGGTAGAGTTTTACTGTATGTGCGTGAAAATAATACCCGGGACAGCGCATCTAAAGTTGATTACATTATCTGCAAGCTTTAGTAAGATATACTCTACCCGAGGATAGCAAGTAAACCCTGCCAAAGTTCTGAAGCTTCCTATATTGGTGAAGTTTCTAGAGGGCCCATTGGTGTGGGGCAGT